ATGTATATAAAAATTTAATATTTACATTTATTAATAATATGTTCTAATATGTTGTAAATTCGTTGCAGTAATGCTTCATCTACATGGTTTGTATAATGAAATAGGTAGGTACACGGTGAGTAAAAGAGAAAGAGATGAGAAAAAGAGAATTGAGAGAGAGAGAGAAAGAGAGAAAGAGAGAAAGAGAGAGAGAGAGAGAGAGAGTAAGAGAGATTCGTATCGTTGTCCAGCGTAAAATTACAGATTACGAGTCTCTTTTGCTCTCTCTCTCTCTTTCTCTCTCTCTCTCTCTCTCTCTCTCTCTCTCTCTCTGTCGCTTTCTCTCGTGCTCTCTTTCGTTCTATCTTCCGATCTCTCTTGCACTTTCTTTCTCGCTCTCTTTTGATCTCTTCTCGTTTTTGCGAGAGAGCGAAAGAGCAAATAAGAGAGAGAATGAGTTTTGTACACACACACACACATTCTCTCTTTCTCTTTCTCTCTGTCTCTGATACATATTTATAACATCTTCCTTGTTCTTTTTTTTGCTATTTGTTACATATATAGTTGTAGCCATCTTAACAAAAACAAAGCAATACTATGAAGCATGTAATCAGTTAATTTTGCACGAGCAACCAGGTTAAAGATATGGAGAAGAAACTAGACGAGGTAGACATGAATATCGATTCTGACGTAAGTACACACACACACACACACACACACACACACACACACTCTCTCTCTCTCTCTCTCTGTCTTTCGCACTCTTTCTCTCTCCTCACTTTCTCAATCTCTTGTTCTCTTGCTTTCTCGTTCTCTCGACACACACACACATACACACACTCTCTCTCTCTCACACACACACACTCTCTCTTTCTGTCTCTCTCTCTCGCTCTCTCGCTCTCATGCACTCTTGATCCTTTGCTCTCTCGATCTCTCGCTGTCTTGCTCTCTTGCTCTGTTGCTCTCTCGACACACACACACAATCTCTCTCTTTCTCTCTCTCCTCTCTCTCTTTCTCTCTTTCGCTCTCACGCTCTTTCGATCTTTCTCTTTCTCGCTCTCTCGATCTTTCGCTCTCGATCTCTCGCTCTCTTTCTCTCTCTCTCTTTCTCTCGCTCCTTTTTTCTTTCTGTTGGTTTCTTTCTTATTACCTCGCTTTCTCGCTGTCTCGCTCTCTTTCTTTCTTGCTGTCTTGCAGTCACGCTCTTTTTATATATTTTTTATATATTTTTGGCAGAAAAAATCTAATAAAATGTATATGCATTTACAAAAAGTAGTGAAATCACTCTAAAAAATGTCTTCACAAAAGAAAAAAACAAACGCCAAGTACATAAAAAATATACAAACCATATTAAAAAACTTTTGTTTTATATAAAAAACAAAAAAGAGACAATCAACGTAATTAGCCAAGTACTGGACCTAAGATAATAGATCCCATAAAACGGGCATAAAACAAAAGTAAAATACAAAAACTTGGCGTGCCCGGATCGTATATATATGACTCATATATACAAATACAAGAAAACCATTTAAACGATAAATTCATAAGTAAACAAATTAATAAATTACTACTAACATATTAGGATTTCTGATATTTTAGAATTTCAAAAGTAACATTATATCACATTAACCTTTTCGCTCCGGGATTGGTCTATATATGGACCAGCAAGAAAAGCGAACGTAATAGATGTTTATAAAGTCTATTTAATGCACTACATTTAGGAAAAAAATTGAAAAAAATCCTGGTTACTTCTTTGACCTTCAAAATTAACTTTGAAGGGAGAGGGGGTAGCAAGTTATTATTAACTTTTTCAGCTAAAATGCGAGGTCAACTTTAAAGGAAAAATCCTCGGATCGAAAAGGTTAAAGATAACTGTTGTTATCTTGTTTTAACTACAACGTAAGTAAGAAAAACAGAGTAAAAAAACAGAGGTAAAAATATAATTTAAAGAAAGAAAATATAAAAAATATAACAAAAAAATATAAAAATAAAATATAATAACAAAATAATCTAAGAATAAATCAAGATATACATAAAATAATAAGATTTATGTAATATAATAAGATATATGTATAATAATAAGATATATCTAATATAATAACACATATGTAATATAATAAAATATATGTAAAATAATTAGATATATCTAAGAATTGTGCGTCTTAAGTGCATGTACAAAATATAGCTTGAATCAGTATTACTTACGATCCGGGCACGCCAAGTTTTTGTATTTTACTTTTGTGTTATGCCCGTTTTATGGGATCTATTATCTTAGGTCCAGTACTTGGCTAAGTACGTTGATTGTCTCTTTTTTGTTTTTTATATAAAACAAAAGTTTTTTAATATGGTTTGTATATTTTTTATGTACTTGGCGTTTGATTTTTTCTTTTGTGAAGACATTTCATAAAGTTTATAACTATATATATACAAATCACCTACCAAGTAAACTTAATTTACTATTCTGATAATTGAAGAATCAGGTTAGTAAAACAACTAGCGCAGTACTTCTCCATTACACCAAAAATACTGTGAGTAGGAAAAGTAGGAATCTATAGATATATTTGGCACACATTTACAGTAAGACGCAAATAGTGTGTCACTCCAAGATGAACAAAGATAAAACTGACAGATAAAATAGCACACTATAGGTTGAAATAAGAAGATGTGGGGATGGCAAGTAAAATTTAAAAAGAATTTTTATGTGCCGGACTTACGGCATTGTGTTTAGCTTCTGTAGGCCAAAGAAGATACACGTGTGTTACATCTCTCGACGACATATCGGAACTTCAAGTTCTTCACAATCGCCGGTAATAATACTAAACGTAAGCATATCACAAACGAGATGATATCTGATTTTTTAGATGTAAATTTGTCGTTTTTCTTTTTATCTAAGTATCAATTGTTTTTCATATATGAGTACAAAATATAAAAAAATGGACCAGGACAAACCTTCGACTTTTTTTGAAGGCAAACCTAGAAAGAGGACCCACAGTAAGATAGAACTTGAAGTAGAAGATGATAAAACACAACAGCACAACCGCGATGTGCCGATACAAAACAAAAAAACAAACAAACACCAAACAACAAAAACTATTCTTGACTTTCCAGATGAAGTTCTTCTTTGTATATTGAAAAATGTAGACATAAATGACTTGAAGAATCTCCGATTGTGAGTTGTTTTATATACGGGAAGCGAGTGACAGATAAATATCCGAAACAATGCATAGATAGCGACAGTAGTACGACATTGCTATTGTTGACAAACTGTATCTTTCAGAAAAACGGGCTTATTATTATACGTATTGCTTGTGTGACAGTTTGTCAAACGACATATAGTCGTTTGAAATAATATCAATCGTCTCTCCTTAAGATAATATACTTATATTTTATATGTATTAAATTAGATTTTTTGTTGAAATATATTTATATTATTATAGATGTTGCACAAGATTTTCAAGAGTAGCGGCAGATAAATTTTTATGGAATTTGGACTACAGCAAAGAACCTATTCTTCCGTCTCAAATGGAGCCGTATGAAACCTTTTTACAACCATTAACACACACCTTAGCAATACGTGGAGATTTCCAACAAGATAGTAAAAATCTGCTTGGACAGTTATTTTTTTCTAAAGTAAAACAAATATGCCGAATACTTCACACATTAAAGATCGAGAACTATTTTATTAATGTGGATGAGGTATATTTTACTTTTTATAAAAATATTTACAGTATGTACACACTCAAGAAACAGCTAAATCGTAAGTTATTAAGAGATTAGAATACAATAGTTTTTTTATTTAGTTTCTTATGCGGTGTCATTTTGTTCTCAAGTGTTAGTACATTTCTAAAGAGCGTTCTACAATAATATATTAGTAATAAATCAGAAGTCAGAAGCAAGAAATTGACTAATCACAATCGATTATTCTTCTGTGATTTGACTGTGAGTGGTCAATATCTTGCTTCTGACTTCTGATTTATTACTAATATTTTATTGTAGAAGGCCCTTAATGCTAGAATAAAATGTGTTAGGTGTTTGGAACTAAGTCGCTTACGATGAAATCGTGTATTAAGTAAGTATATAAAGTGTTTTTTGCAAGAGAGATGTTACTTTAAAAAAAAAAGAAGTAGAGCAGTGTTAAGTGTAAAATAAAATGTTACAAATTACCGTTACTTATATTTGTACAGTTTGTTACGTTTTAATAGTTTTAGAATGATAATAATAATCGTACATATCCAGAACACCGAATCTGTCGAAGTCGAAACAAATTTTGCCAAACGCATGTTACAAATTTTATTAGCAGAAAGACATCAAATATGATGCAGAGCTTGTTTTGTCTGGCAATGTTTCAAAAATGCTAGCAAAAATATGTTCAAGCTTGTTGACAAAATATAAGAGCAACTTGCTGGCAAAAACCAAGCAAAGCTGTGTCGTGTTGCGCAAATCTTGCTTCATATTTGGCGTCAAATTGGTCTCAGACCAAAATATGTTTGAATATGTATCAAGCTTTGCTCGGTTTTTGCTAGCAAGTTGCTGTTACTTTTTGTCGACAAGCTTTGGCAACAAAATCGAAGCCTAATGCGGACACAGTTGATACTACTTTGCTGAGTAGTTTTGTTTAAAATTGCTAACAGTTTGCCGACAAATTGCGAACAAATTGTTTACTGGGTATTGGTATAAAATATCGATATATTATCAAATATGTCTGTAACACTTATAGCGATATCAAAGTACATTTGCACTTTCAAATTATTATTATGCAAAGCATACTTTATATATAGCATATTAAATTTGTTAAATTTTTTTCTCAGGTTTGGTACATGTCACTTTATTACAATTAATTGTAGGTTACGCCAGAAATGTCAACAATTATACAGAAACTTGAAATCAAAAATTGTGTAGCTTTTACTAGTTTTAGACTGTTATCGTATACATACCATTTTTTTCGTGGAATATGTAGGTTCGTACCTTATGTAAAAGTAAGTTATTGTACTATACATATATATTTTACATATCTATACGTATTTATACATATCTATTGTATTGTACTATACACATATACTTTTACACACACATTGTTTATAACGACATAAAACTTTATTAAAAATATAAATTTTAGCAATTGATCTTGAATGATGTTTTATTGGTTCAACAATCGACATTTTTGACAAATATAAGTAACCTTACAAAACTTCAGAAACTTAAAATAATTTCATGTTTTTGTTTACGGGGATTTACTTCAGACATAGATTTATTTCCTTTCACTTGTAACTGCCAAAAAGTAAAGGTATTGTTTATTCTAAAACATTAATAGTTCTGCATTTTATTTACTACTGCGGAATCACATTTTTCTAGACATGTTTTTTTCTTTTTTTCTTTTTATAGATTCTGGACTTTCGAAACACAGCAATAGAGGAAAAGTTAGTTGAATGGTTTTGTCAAATTGAATTTTTAGAGGAACTGTATCTAGATTGTCCTAAATATTTAAAAAACGAATGGTCAAGTGAGTCATTAAAAGAGTTACAAAACTTTTATCACAAAGAATATATTCCTTTGCATCAGTTTGATGAGAAGTTGTATAACTTTTTATATACAGTAGAAGTATGTCTTCTCTCTTTTTCGTTTTCTTTATTTTTGCCTCTCAAACATACACGCTTGCATGTATTGTTAATAGTATTAACACAATTGATCAATTTCTTGTTGCGCACTAAATGATAATATAACTTTTTTTGCTTTAGCCTCTTCTTTCCAAAGACAGAGTTGAAGAAATAATCAGTTACAAAAACGAGATTTTCCAGAACTATTTGTTGTCAAATATTAGTCGGTATATAAGTAGATGTAATAATTTGAAGAAATTACATATTAGGTAAATCTTAAGTCTAGACACCAAAACCAAAACTATTTTAAACACTGATGTTTTTATTTCGGCTTAGACATTATTCGCATGTTACTAGAACGGATATCAATATGGCTTTGACATTACCAGACTTAATAGAGTTGGATATAACTGGTTGTTCTGTAACTCTGGAGGATGTGAAACACTTTGAATCACAAAGATCTAATGTTCAAATTTATTCATCATTTAGTAAACCACATAAAAAATATGAGACTATGAATAGATAAGTATTCACTTTAAGTCAATGTGACATAGATAAAAAAAAACGAGTTAGAAACGAGAATCGTTTTATATCCCGATAAAAAGTAGTACTTGATATTGCAATTATCTGATTTATTATAACAAAACTGTAATTATCGTATATGAAAAAAGTAATTGTGCAATAAGATCACAAGTATGTAATCGTAATAATTGTAACTGCAATTATAATTATTACTAAACTTTGTAATATCTTAAGTTTATTTAATATGAGAACTTTTAAACTTATAATGTTAAAATCTAAGAAAAACCAAAAATATTATTAATGTATTCAAATTTTTATAGAACAGATAAAAGATAATCAAGTTTAGGTATATACATTCATTGATTGTGAACAAATGATATTTTCGTGACATGTCGACACTAGAATCGCAATTTGAAAAAATGTGATCTTATAAGGAAAATTATTGTAATTTTAATTTTATTATTTTATATTTCAGTAGCGCGGAATGTTTTAATTATTGTGAGAAACTGTGATAAACTTATACTAAATATAAGATCCGTTTATGATGACTAAACTTGATTTGCATTACGCTAGGTATAAAACTTGTAAAGGTTAATATTAAAATAAAAGAAATAATAAAATAAAATCAAATATGAAATACAAAAAATCTTTTTTTTCATTATAAACAATGTGTGATTGTGTGTTACATTACAAAAAAAATTGACCATAACAAATACCAAGTCGTAAAACTGGTAAATTAAAAAATTCAGTAATATAATATTTTATATAAACTTGTTTCGACAGGTATGGTCTATTTTTTATATTCAGTTAAATAATGTATATATATATGTATTATACATACTACCATAATCAAAAAATAACCGGAATTTTTAATTTAAACCTCGCGGGCTTATCGGTTTAGAATTCTGTTGTTTGTGTTACGTTGGTAGCACTGTTACGGACACCCATGCCAAGCTTCTGCTTATTAGCTGTTCATTTTCCTTTATGACAGTGATTTCTTTACATCAAGTTTTTACGTCGCGGCGATTTTTACAATGGATTCAAAACTTGAACAACGTTCTTGCATTAAAT